ACATGTATTTAGGGAGGTTTACATTTAAAAAAAGCTAATTAAATTGCAGTTTTTAAATTTTGATCTGCAGGCTTGTATAACAAACTTAAATACAAACTTCTAATTAACTATATACATTTAGGGAAGTTAGTATAATATAAAAAATCTTTTAAGTAAACATGCATTTGCAGAATATAAAATGTATATTTAGCACTAATAATTTCATACAACCAAGACAAAAATATGTATTTAGAAAGATATTGCATTTATGGAGGTTGTATTTAAAGAGGTCTGACTGTATTTGAAGAATATTTTATAAATTAAATAAGCAAGTTCTACAAACTTTGCAGCTCTGTTATTAAAAAATTATTGATTACTAATTATTAATTGATAATCTGCCTATCAACTGAAGAATAGATAAAATATAACATCTTCTATCTAAACCTTTTTTTCTTACTAAGTTAATGATATATATCCACTAATTAAAAATTGTAGAGCTCATCAAGATGCATCTAACAGTAGTTAGATCATCCAAATCGGTCTAGTGAATATTGAGATATTGTTGCAAAATAATTGGCTAACTATATAAAAATCTGTAACAGAAATTATATATGAAAATCACTATCAGCAAAATGTGATGTGCTTCTATTTAAAACTTTTTTCTTTACTAAATTAATAATATATGCCCATAAATTGAAAGTTGTAGAGCTCGTCAAAACATATCTAATGACAATTAGATAATCCAAATCAGCCTAGTAGATGGCAAGATATTGTCAAAAAATGATTGGTCAACTATATAAAATCTCTATGTAAATATACATTGTTTATATAGAGATTTTATATAGTCAGCCAATCATTTTTCAACAATATCTTGCCATCTATTAGGCCGATTTAGATGATCTAACTACTGTTAGATGCATCTTGATGAGCTTTACAACTTACAATTAGCAGGCATATATCATTAACTTAGTAAGAAAAAAAGTTTTAAATAGAAGCATGCCATATTTCACCGATAGTGATTTTCATATATAATTTCTGTTACAGATTTTTATATAGTCAGCCAATCATTTTGCAATAATATCTCACCATCTACTAGGCTGATTTAGATGATCTAACCACTGTTAGATATGTTTTAATGAGCTCTACAATTTTTAATTAGTGGGTATGTATTGTTAACTTAGTAAGAAAAAAAGTTTTAGATGGAAGATGTTACATTTCACCTATTCTCCAGTTGATAAGTGGATTATCAATTAATAAAGCTTATTTCTTATATTATATATCTATTCTATAGAATATTCTGTTTGAAAAGAGCAAATTTGAAGTTTATAAGCATTGTAAATTAGTAATTAAAGATATAACTAGTGTTTCTAAGTCTGGTTCAGGTCTGGTCTGGTCTGAGTCTAGTTCGAGACAGACCAGACTCAGACTCTAAATTTTACTAATTTCAAACTTCAAATCAGACCCAAACTCAATTGTGAGTTCGGTCTAAGTCTGGTCCGAAGTTTGCAAACTGGTCTAAGTTTAAATATATTTATATGTATTTTTTAGTACTAAACAAATTTACTTAGAGTATAAAGTTAGAATTAATTAGTAAAATTTCGAGAATTATAAGATTTTATAAAATTTTATTAATTAATTCTAACTTTATGCTCTAAATAAATTTGTTTAGCACTAAAAAATATAAGGGAGGTGGGGGTATTATGAACATGTTAAAGTTTCTACTAATAAAACTTTTTAATAATTAAATAGATTTTTATACAATTTGATTATTTGAACTATGCTTAATAAAGAATAAATTACTGTAAAAAAATCTTTATATTATATTATGTTTTAGATATAAATAATTAGTACACAAAATAGAATATAAAAATTAAATTTTAGAAGAAAGAGAAGTATTGTGAACACAGTGAATAAATTTTGATCTATCGGTCCGTTTTGGATGATTTTATCACCAAAATAACCGTCTCAGTGAAATGATTCTAACAAGCATAAAATCATTAAATCCAATCACAGGATCTCAAGATCGTTAAAGGTATATTATATAAAAATTTGCAGATTTTCAAATATATATAAAAACTTATATTTTGCATAAATAACAATATCTTATAATCTAGTGATCAGAATTGGATGATTTTTATATCATTTGATTCGTCTCTTTGAGATGATTCGAATGGTATAAAAATCATCCAATTCTGATCACTAAATTATAAGAAGCTGCCCTGTTCACAATACCCGCCCTGTCCACAATACACCCACCTCCCTTATATAAATATATTCAAACTCAGACTAGTCTGCAGACTTTGGATCAGACCCAGACCAAACTCAGACTTGACTAAAAAGTCTGAATATAAAAGTCTGAAAATTAGACTAGACTCAGACTTGACTAAAGTCTGGTTTAAGTCTGATCTGCAGAAGTACTAAATGTAACAAAAATTAAATCACAAAAAAAGAAAAAAATTTAAAGCTTATTGTCAATGAACTAAACAAAAGGATGCATAATAAATATTGATATGATATAGCAAGCAGAAATGTTAAAAGAACCAAAACTTTTGTTTTGATGCTTGAAGCCTTTGTAGATTTTTTTTTTTATAATTTAACCATTTAAAGATTAACAATTAAAAGAATTATTTGCTAGGTGAGTGGGTAACAAACTGGTTTTATGGGCCTAAACTATAATTGAAGAATATAAGCAAAAAAATAATAAATTTTAGTACTAGCTGGGTGAATAGATAAACAAAAAAAAGATAAAAAACAATCAAATGTTAGTACCTGTTGGGTAGGTAGATAGATGAAATGGCCCTATAGGCCAAAACAATGAATGATAGGTAAATATGTAAGCAAATCTCCTTTAGAGACCATGATGATAAATAGAAAAAATTAGATCGATTAATTAAAAAAAAGTAAGTATAAAATTGTAAATAATTATAAATAAAAAAAATACTTAACTAAGTATATTTAAATTCTTTGTATTATTTGAGTCACATATCTAGTAATTTATTTGAATTTTTGTTAGTAATTATATATTATATAATAAATTTAATAAAAATTTTACTAAATTCTATTAAGTGGTTGTTGAAATACTTTTATTCAAAGCTTAAAATTGTTTTGGCACAGCTTCTATTTTGTTAGATGTTTAAGACTTTGAATGAAGATATCTCAACAACCACCTAATAGAATTTGATGAAAGCTTGTTTATTTAATTCTAGAAATTTGTAGAATTAAAATAAAAAAATTTCATTGAATTCTATTAGGTGATGGCTGAGATATCTTGGTTCAAAGTTTAAAATAAATTCGGCGCAGCTTCGACTCATGTTTAAAATTCTGAAATTTTGAGCGATGATATATCAGTAATCACCTAATAAAATTCGATGAAATCCTTCTATTTTATTTCTATGAACCATTAAAATTAAAACAAAAAAATTCTATTAGGTGGTTACTGAAATATCTTGGTTCAAAGTCTAAAATAATTTCAGCGTAGCTTTGATTAAGGTAGATGTTTAAAATTTTGGCCGACGATATCTCAGTAATCACCTAATAGAATTTGATGAAAGTTTTTTTTTATTTTAATTCTAATGAATCATTAGAATTGAAATAAAAAAACATTCATCGAATCCTATTAAGTAGTTACCGAGACAAAGTTTAAAATAATTTTGGTGCAGCTTCGATTGGGGTAGATGTTTAAAATTTTGAGCGACAATATTTCAGTAATCACCTAATAGAATTCGATGAGAATAATTTTATTTTAATTCTATGAATCATTAAAACTAAAATAAAAAAAATTCATCTAATTTTATTAGGTGATTGCTGGGATATCGTTCAAAGTTTAAAATAATTTCGGCGCAGCTTCGATTAGTGTAGACGTTTAAATCTTGGGCGACGATACCTCAGTAATCACCTAATATAATTCGATGAATTTTTTTTTATTTTAATTCTAGTGAATCAATAGAATTAAAATAAAAAAATTTTCATCAAATTCTATTAGGTGGTTGCCGAGTTATCTTGGTTTAAAATTTAAAATAAATTCGGCACAGCTTCGACTCATGTTCAAAATTTTGAAATTTTGGGCGATGATATGTCAGTAATCATCTAATATAATTCAATGAAAATTTTTTATTTTAATTCTAATGAATCATTAGTATTAAAATAAAAAAAAATTCATCGAAGTCTATTATGCGGTTGCCCAGATATTTTGGTTTAAAGTTTGGCATAGTTTTTTGATTCATTTAGATGTTTAAGATTTTGAGCAATTATATCTCAGTAATCACCTAATAGAATTCAATAAAAATTTATTTATTTTAATTCTACCAATTAGTAGAATTAAAATAAAAAATTTTAACTGAATTCTATTAGGTGGTTTTCTGAGATATCTTGGTAAATAGTTTCGGCGAGGCTTTTATGTTTAAAAACTTTGAACGAAGATATCTCAGCAACCACTTCATAAAATTCGATGAAAATTTTTTTATTTAATTCTACTGATTTATATGATTAAACTAAAAAAATTCGCGCCGAATTTTGCTGGGTGGTTGCCGAGATATCTTCATTCGAAGTTTGCAAAATAGATTTCTTATGTACACGTGATTCTGCTCCGCTTTAGACGACCCGTATAAAGTATGCACATCAAGAAAGACATTTATACACACACAATGAAGATATTTGGTACAACATCTACATTCGTTATAATCACATCCAGCCACCGCACAATAGTATGTACATCACTTACAAATAAGGAGATTGAGGTTTTTAGAGTTCCCGCACCGTACCTGATTAGAAACCAAATATCAACATCGACGTTCAAATTTCAAAAAAAAAAAAAATATATATACATATGTTGTAGGAACGTGACTTGATAAAATTATAATTTTAGGGTACAATTTATTTTATATAAACCTACACCCTAACCCTAAAAATCCTAGTAAATTTCAAATCGACAACATATGTATATATAATTAACTACATAGTGGCTCTTGTAAGTTTATGATCATTAGCCATCGCGTTTACAAACCAATTAAAGTTAGATTCGGATGTTGGAGGCTATACAAGAAACTGTTAATGGTACGTACGTACCAATATTCGATCGCGGTTTCATTAAATGATTGAATTCGTTATCGCCCTCATGTTGTTTATAAATAACGTAAAAAAACAACTTGATCGGGAACCTTGCTATAACATATATCTATACTGTAAAAATATGCTACATGAAACGCGATTGTAAAATGTTTTAAACATCAATAACAGATAATAATCATGATTGTGACGTACCCCTTAGCATTATCATTTTAGGTTTATTGCGCGATAGCAACAAAACTTAAAACTAAGCTTGGTTCGTCCCCACTCTCAATTGATCAAGTTGATTAATAATATAAATTACTTTGGTATTCCGATTAGTAAAAACTAAAATAAAAATAACATAAATGGCATATTAAATGTTTACAATTCGTACTTTCTTGATTGTATAAAAAAATTCTTTAGAGCAATTCGATTTCCACATACAAATTATTATTATTATTATATCGCTAATGTCGTTCTCTGATTCAAAAAGACCATATGACACATCATATAATCGGCTAAAACTTGTGTTGGCAAGTTCTGATCCTTATAATTGCTTGAATAAAAGAACTGCTTTATATAATTATTTATATCTTGAAAAATAAAATTCCTTTTAACTAAAGGCTTTGGTGATATTGCGAAATAAGCCATTAGATTGGACTATAGACGGTAAAATTGGATATTAACATTACATTTTCTTGCAATGAACTTTTTAAAAAGCTGTTATACTTTTTATACATAGAATATATTAGATCCGTAAATTGCACATCTCCAAAAGACCAAAAAGAAAAAAATCAAGTTAATGATAATATAGAGGGTAACAAAAACACTTTTGAAACAAAAGAAAACCACAAAATTGTTGAGGAACAGCATCAAGGAGGCAATGAGGTGAATAATGATAAAGATCCAGATGATGGCAGTTGTCAGCGTTGGAGAGAAAGAGCCTTGGAATTAACGAACGAAGTCGAAGCGTTAAAGCAACGCTTATGTGTTGTTGAGTTAGGTAATATTCGTTTTAACCTGTACAAATGGTTCATCAGAATTAACTTCGTTTTTTATTATTTCAGAGTTAGAAGCTGCAAAACAAAGCGCGTCTAACAAAAGAAGAAAAACAAAGGCGCAACAAACAACCACAATCACTGAAGGTGATCAAAGTTCCGCAGTATCACTAACATCAACGAATAAAAAACAATCTGGGAAAAATGCAACGACAAAAAGAGGTCCAAAAAGATTTCAAGATCCTGAATCTAAAATATTTCAAAAGATCCCAGGAGCAGATGATGGTAAATTTCTCTTATAATTTTTATTCTTTTTGATTTTAGAATAATGAAATAATGTTTCATGCTCCCATCAACAGACATATGGAAATTATTCGATATCAGTCAAGCAATGTCTTTTTTACAACAAATTAAACTTCTAGCACATATAACACCACCTGTTATATCAGTCACTGATTCATCTTCATTTTCTCCATGTTCTGCAAACTCTGGAGCGGTGATAACACAGACGATTATCAAAACGATTAGTTATATGAATCTAAAGTTGTCAAGTTTATTAAAAGTGCTTGAAAATAATTCAGTAAACAATATAAGCATGCTACAGGCTTATCCATTATGTATAAATAGTTTTGAATCTATTGTGAAAAAGTTGTTAGGTTTATTTCATTTCATTTCATTTATTTTATTTTATTTTATTTTTTTTTATAATTATATGAAATTTATTAATCTATATATTATATTTTCACAAATTAGTTTTTTTCGATTCTCCACTAATTTCTGAATTAGAAAAAAGCGAAATTATCATAACGCTCGCAAACTCTTTTGCATCGTTGATCAGGGCGATTCCTATTATTAGCATGAGGATTTTAAATGATGCATTACAAGATAATGATTCCACAAACAACCTCCCTAATGTTGCAAATGTCAAAAGTCAAGACCCACGAGATGCAATAGCTAAATTGTTGATTCACATTTGTCATCATGTTGGTCCACAATTAAGGGATGCAGTTTCGTTGGCTGCAGTAAAGGAGTGTCTGCGGCTGGTATCTGAAGAATTTGGTATTATTGATGAAAATCCGTCAAAATCATTACAAGAAAATAATGATTCTGCAATGACTATACCGATTTTGTCTACCGATCAAGCTACTGCATCATTAATGCAGGATTCTACATTGTTGACAAAGAAAGATACTGAAATTAGAGATGTTGTGCGTAAGGATAGTGCTTATTTTTTATTATGGGTTCTTGAAGAAATCTTGAGTAAAGAAAATTGTATTTTGGATCTAACAAGAAAAGATGTGCTAACAGGTATTCAATTTGCTAACATTCTTATTTTGTGTTTATCTATGTAATTTGGTTTCTTTGTTTTTTTGATTTCATTTCTTTATAGATGAAACTCGTAAAAATATTTCTACTCTTTTGGAAAGGTCTCTTGCATGTAATAAGCGTGCATCTTTGCATGGAGATGCGTACACTATGTATCTTTGGAATGTCTGTGAAAAACTTTGGACTCTGACTGGAACATTTCCATGAAATAGTATATAATAAACTTAATTTCTAATTAGGAACTTTCAAAATGCTCGTATTTGTAAATATTTCTATTAAAATCATTTAATATTACTTTTATTATTTTTATTATGACAGAAACGCTAAACCTATTATGTATAACAAAACAATTTCATTTTATTTATCCGAGTATTACCTGTTAAAAGCTTATATTTTTACTAATTATAGTTTGCCATTATTTTTCTCACAGTTTCGTCTTTCAAAGGTTTCGTTTTTAGCCAAGGGTCTCACCTTGTCACTACGTAAAATAGTTTTCCTGTCAACTATAACGGTATAATGATCAATTAAAAATTATGCACTAGTATAAATATGTATATAGTGAATAAAGTGGTCGGGCCAGATCAGGCATAGGTTAAGGCTCCCATGGGTCCAGCCCTGGGTCCCTAAAATGTTCGATATCAATTTCATTTGTTTTTTGTGATATGTGACTAATGATCAATCAAATTAATTAAAGAAATTTAATAATTGATTCTGAGTAAAATCTACACTTTATTTATATTTAAATACCGTATTTGCGCAAAATAATATCCTGAGATATCATTTTTGAGGCATAGTGAGCTAATAACTAATTTAACCAAATATGAGCAATAATTTTGTTTTTAAAATCTTGTTAAATTAGTCAAATTAATCGTTGGCTTTCTTTGTGGCAGGGATTAAACGATTATGTTAAAATGCGGCCCTTCAAAAGTGTCATTATTGATTTATAGTATATTATAAATTAATTGCTTATATAGTAACTATTTTTGGGATGAATTAAAAAAGCACTTTAAACAATAACAGTGGCACAGTAATGGCCGGCAAATTAATATAGTTTAAGCCCTGCTTTCTGGTTCGAAATAACATTTTAAAAAGTTTTTGTATATAGCAACCATATTTAATTTATTTAGAGTGAACTAATAAGCAAAATTTTCAAAATAAATTTTTTTTTTCAACTTTGAATAAAACAAAAATTAAACAATTTGATAATTTTTAAATAAATTAGAATAAACCCTTTAACTAAATAAAAATCTTAAAAAATAACTTCAAACAAGCTTTTTTGTCTCAATAACAATTGAAATTAAATATTTTTATCAAAATGTTTTTATGGTTTTACTAAATCGCACCAGTGGTATAGATGACAAAGAAATTATAATCATAATTTCTACATTCTACAGTAGAAAATTGTCGAAATAATTTCACAAAAATTTTATAAAAGTAAAATGCCGAATTAAATTTCAACAGTCGAAATTTATCAAAATGTAGAGATTAATTTATATGCAGAAATTATATTAACAGTTGAAATAAATTTCGAAAGTTGAAATTTATCAAATTGTAGGAATTAATGTGGCAGATTAAAATGAAATTCAGATTAAAATGAAATTATAATATAAAATCTCGAAAAATAATTTTTTTTGTGATGCATTTTTTAGGGTTAGGGGTCAGAATTAGGGGTTAGGATTAGAGTAAAATATATTAAACAAGTATAAGTGGGTTTTAGAAGGTTAGGAGGTTGAATAGAAAATGTAGATTTCATTTTAAATTATGATCTACGACATTTATTATCTGATCTCGTTATGGTCGAATGCAGGGGTTGTTACAAATAACATGTAATCTACTCTTTCGATTTAGCCAGGGCGGCCCCCCCAAAGTGCCAGTGACGCAGCCACAGTATATATACAGTATTGTAATATTGAATCAC